CTTTAAACAGCTGAAATGTATTTATGATTGCACAGTGTTTTTCTGCCAACCCTTAGCATCGCTAAGAGTCTACAGTGCTTCACAAAAAAGATATTGTACCTTGAGTACTTATAGTGATTTTCTAGAAGCAGCAAAAACACTACAGTAAAGTTTCAGCTAACCTTGAGCAAAAATGTTTTCCATAACGATCAAAACACTGTTCACTGACCAAAGACCGCGCAATTAAATCATAAGCCATTGCTCTTCCAAATTTATTACATGTAGTACAGCACTGTATTAACCTTAAATAATAGCATTAATAAAACTACACATTTCTGGCACTAATAACTAATTTAATTTGATCAGATATAAAAAAATTTTTTTATCTCTGATTAGGTAACTTTTGAAGACCTGAACTCGGCATTTTTATTACATCGTTCAGCAAAATAGTGTTCATTATTACGCAAAAGTCGTTGACAAGTTGTTGCGCCAAGCATATCTCGACAACACGGTGGACTTGATGTGCGGCTTTCACCTAACCAAAAAGCTTTAGTCTTTTCAACTATTCACGCTATTTACTAATTATTTTAATAATCACTAAAAACACAGTGTTTTTTTTTTTGTTTTTACAAGTTAATTGGTTGTAAGGTTAGCTGTCTACTCTATTTGCATAGTACAAGTTAGTATTATTGAATTTATAGCTGTTGAAACATAAAGTAACTTACAAAATTGCCAGTGATCTAAAAAGAAGATAGCGGCTACACTAACAACAATTCGATATGTCATAGTTTTTTTGTAACTGGCGTTTTATAAAACCCTAAACATAGTTTATCAATGACAAATAAATAAATACTGCATAAAAGCATAAAATTTTTCACAAATATTTACAGTAATTATCAAGAAACCACTAAAAGTTATACCAAAAAATTCCAATAGCATCAAGTTGTTGTTTTGACAATAAATAAAATTTTATGCAGCTACAAAAATAGGAAACAATTTTACACCTTACTGTAAACATTAATGATTTACAGTGTATACAGTGTCGACATAGAAAAACTTGTGTTTTGCTTTGAAAAAAA